GTGTGGGCGGGGGGGGGAGTGCGTTTCTTGATGTGCCTCGGGCCTGACCGCATAGAAGAGATGGGTGTGCAGGACAGGAGAGGGACCCAGGGCCACGAAGAGGAGAGCAAGCTGGGCGGTGGGCGGCAGGTGGGTGGAAATGCTCTTAGAGGCTCTTGGAGAGAGAGGTTCTGGGATGGCAGGAGGGGAGGTTGGCCTTGATGCTGTACCCTGTGCAGCTCGGTGCTCCCTCCGGGGGATGAAAGGATGTTGGTTCTTCTGTTCCCCACGTTGTCCTCACAACAACGGTCCTGTAAGGTCGGTTGGGTGGAGAGGGAGCGGACTGCCCAAGTGCCCAACTGCTCTGGGAGTTTCTGGGCTCGGCGGGGATGAAAACCCCAAATATCCTGAGACCCAGCCTAAGCTTGGGTGCTTGGGTGACCCTCCCTGCACACGCTCCTAGGTTCACATGCTCCAGTTCCAGGCGTGTCCGAGTACGTCCCGTTGTTGAGGCCAGTGTTTTTTTTTAGTAAAAAAAAAAAAATACAAAATACACCTACTACTACAGAAAAGAAAAACTATAAAATACAAAGCAAAACAGTCACCCATCACCCTCAAGACTAGCATTACGCTTCATTCCATCCATTTTCCTTCCAAAATTTCATTGTTTCTTCGCTCGGTGTAAACCCCCTCCCTCTCCGAAATACATATTCTAAAAATACATTCCATATTTTCTTAAAGTCATTATTTTTCGTTTGGCCCCTACTTATTTTCATATCACATGTCAGTTTATCATTGATAGCCATGTCCCATAATTCTCTATACCATTCCTCGAGGTTAAATTAATTTTCATTTCTCCAATTCCTTGCCATAATTATCCTTGCTGCCGTAATCATTATTACTATTAAATCCTTATTTTCATTCGCCAATTGATCTTTGCTCAAATTCAATAAGGCTGTTATTGGGGACATTGGAATATTCAATCCCATTATTTCAGTTATTTCTTTAAATATTACTTTCGATTCTTTCTTTCTTTTTTCACATAGCCACCACATATGTAAATACGTCCCCTTCTCTTTTTTACAGCTCAAACACAATGATGACATAGTTTTATCCATCATATTCATTTTGACCGGCGTTAAATACCACCTCCATATGACTTTATAACAGTTTTCTTTTATCCTTACTGACATGTACTTCATGAGTCTCTGATCCCACATTTTATCCCATTCTTCTATTACTTCTTGATCCAAATCATTTTGCCATTGCATTTTTAACCCCACAGTACCCTGTTCTACTTGATTTAATAGCTGTCCTCAACGTTAGGTAGGCACCTATGGCTGGCTGCTGGCTGGCTGGGTGGGGACCAGAGGCTGAGCAGACAAGGGGTGCCAGCCTCTCCCAACCCATTTCCTTCTGCCGCTGGTCCCCAGCAGGAAAGCCAGGCACTCAGCTGAGATGGATTGGAGGGTGGTGGTTGGGCAGCTTCTGGCCTCCCCCAAAAGGCCTTTCTTCACTCGGCTGTCTCTCCCGCCAGGTGGGCCTTAATGTTCTGATCCAGAGAGCGAGCCATTTCACCCCGGCCACCCGGCTCCTGATCCAGAGATTTGTGCCGTTCCCTGCTGTCGGTAAGAAGGGGGTCCCGATTTCCTCTTGGTGCCTTAGGGAGGAGACCTGTCACCCCCGGGCTCTTGCCAAGGGGGACGGGTGGATGGGGGGGCTGAGCCTCCCCGCGGTCTCTTGTCCAGTGGCCTGGCGTGGCTCCTGTGGCCAGCCGAGGATGAAAGGAGTGCTCAGAAGCCATTGTTGATCGTGGTCTTGATGGAGGGGCACCCAGGAAGCAGGAGGGGGGCACCCTTTCTGGACCCAGCCTCCTTCCTGGGTCTGAGGGGGTCGGGGGTCGGAGGTCTGGCCATCCCAGCCTCCCACTGGGAGAGAAATGGCATGAAGTCCAGGCTGAGCCCACAGGTCTCAGTGGAAGGGAGGCGGAGGGAGGGGAGGGGAGGGCAGTGTGTGCTGGATGGCAGGTTTTTCTATTATTATACCCAAGTGTTATTGGAAGGAGGCTAAGCTGGTTGTCAGGATTGATTGAGGGCCTGTAATTAATTTGTCCAGCTCTTAATTAATTATCTGGTTCTTTCATTTGTGTACTGACATGCTTCGTTTGTGTGCCAAGACTCGGGCTGTCCTCGTGCTAATTGCTGCTTTATTCTCCTGGGGGCTCTCCTGCCTCCGAGTCCCCCGTGAACCGTTTAATTAAAGATCCACACAGAAGGTCTGCTGACCCAGCGGTGGTGCTCCTCAGAAGGAAGCCGGCCAGGCGAGGTCCCGGGGGGCGGAGGGTGGGGGGAAACTCTCTTGTGGCGAGGCTGCCCCTGGGGAGCCAGCCAAGCCCCTTGACCGAAGAGCCGTGCCTTCACTGGCGTCTCGGATCATGCCGGCGTCTCAGGCTTGGCCTGCTTTGAGCCAGGATCCTGCCATCCCCTCTGCCCTGTGAAGTCTTATTTTGGTTGAAAGTAGGAGGGTGTGCGTTTGGGGCAAATTGAAATTCTGCCACTGAGGAGGAGTTGGCATTCTCTGTGGTCAGAAAAGAAAATATATGGGATGCTTCAATGCCTGTTCGCTCCATTTGCAACCCTGGGTTTGGCTTCTGTCACTCAGGGTGCTGAACGTGGATCCCACAGTGGCCTTCTTCCTGCTGACCACCGAGCTCTCCTCCCCTCCTCCACTCTCTTCTCTCCTCTCCCGCTTCTTCCTTCCACAGCCAGTGCCAATATTTGCAATGTGGTCCTGATGAGACACATGGAGCTGAAGGAGGGGATTGATGTTTTCGATGCCGAAGGAAACGTCGTTGGATCTTCCAGAATTGCTGCCAAGCATGTATGCATCATAGGTGCCTCAATGGCTGTGAAAATAACTTTCACCCCAGACCTCCCCTCCAACAAACCACCATGAGACTGAGGGTGGACACTGGTGGAAGCCTTCCTGTGGCTCTCCAAGGATCCTTCACACAATGCCATCCTTGCCCTTTCCAGGGCGCATGGCATTGTGTTGTTGTTTAGTCGTTAAGTCGTGTCCGACTCTTCATGACCCCATGGACCAGAGCACGCCAGGCCCTCCTGTCTTCCACTGCCTCCCGGAGTTGGGTCAAATTCATGTTGGTCGCTTCGATGACCCTGTCCAGCTATCTCGTCCTCTGTCGTCCTCTTCTCCTCTTGCCTTCACTCTTTCCCAACATCAGAGTCTCTTCCAGGGAGTCTTCTCTTCTCATGCGATGGCCAAAGTATTGGAGCCTCAGCTTCAGGAGCTGTCCTTCCAGGGAGCACTCAGTGTTGATTTCCTTCAGAACTGATAGGTTTGTTCTCCTTGCAGTCCACGGGACTCTCAAGAGCCTCCTCCAGCACCACAATTCAAAAGCATCAATTCTTTGGCGGTCAGCCTTCTTTATGCTCCAGCTCTCACTTCCGTACATTGCTACTGGAAAAACCATAGTTTTGATGATGTGGACCTTTGTCTCTGCTTTTTAAGATGCTGTCTAGGTTTGTCATCACTTTCCTCCCAAGAAGCAGGCATCTTTTAATTTCGTGGCTGCTGTCACCATCTGCGGTGATCATGGAGCCCAAGAAAGTAAAAGTCGTCACTGCTTCCATATCTTCCCCTTCTATTTGCCAGGAGGTGATGGGACCAGTGGCCATGATCTTAGGTTTTTTTTTTTTTTAGTTGAGCTTCAGACCATTTTTGGCGCTCTCCTCTTTCACCTCATTAAGAGGTTCTTTAATTCCTCCTCAATTTCTGCCATCAGAATGGTATCATCTGCATATCGGAGGTTGTTGATATTTCTTCTGGCAATCTTAATTCCGGCTTGGGATTCCTCCAGTCCAACCTTCCGCATGATGTATTCTGCATATAATTTAAATAAGCAGGGGGACAATACACTGCCTTGTCATACTCCTTTCCCAATTTTGAATCAATCAGTTGTTCCATATCCAGTTTTAACTGTTGCTTCCTGTCCCACGTATAGGTTTCTCAGGAGATAGATAAGGTGGTCAGGCACTCCCATTTCTTTAAGGATTTGCCATAGTTTGCTGTGGTCCGCGCAGTCAAAGGCTTTTGTGTAGGCAATGAAGCAGAAGTACAGATGTTTTTCTGGAAGTCTGTGGCTTTCTCCATAATCCAGCGCATGTTAGCAATTTGATCTCTAGTTCCTCTGTCCTTTCGAAATCCAGCTTGTGCTTCTGGGAGTTCTCAGTCCACATACTGCTGAAGCCTACCTTGCAGGATTTTGAGCATAACCTTGCTAGCGTGTGAAATGAGTGCAA